GTTCAACGCGATCTGCAGGTCGACGTTCGTTAGGATGAGTTGATCGTCAACGTATGCACGGAACATTTTCTAAGTCATGCATGCGTGCCTTCATCTTCCTTTGGAAGGTTGTCGGGACATTACATAGGCCCATGGCAACCTCTGGTACCTCGTATTTCCCCACTGGGGAGTGCGATAGGTAACAGAGTTGTTTCGAGTGAGGTGACACTCGATGTGGATAGTATCCCATGTTTAGGTCTAGATTAGTAGCGTACTTGGAAATCCATCTAATCAGAGCATGTCCTGTATTTTTGGGATAGGATTAAGGCTTCCGCTTAACTCTCTTTGTTCAGTTCCGGAAATCAGAGTGAATCGTGCAGATCATCTTTTCTTGGGAAGATGAAAGTTGGTGCCGCCCTGGGAACGATTACTTTTCATTGAGTGGCTCCTGTCTCGCAGAGACGTTTCAACCTCCTTCTTAAGTAGTGTTTGTATGGACACGTGGAGTAGGGTGAGCCCTAGTGTAATAGGATTTACGTCGGGACGAAGTTGCTACCTTCGTAGTCGTCCATTCGCAACTACTCCTAAGGTGTCCTCGACTTGGTTCCAAGCACTTGGTTGAAAAGCATGGGGCAGTTTCTTGCTCTTCCTTGTTTAACGGATTTGACTCTGGCATTCTGCCTTAAGCCTATCTTCTATGTCGTATTCGTGTCAAGACTCTTTTGAGAACATCTGCGTTGTCGCCGACAGCCGCAGAACCGGAATGAGAAGTTTTCCTTTCTATTGGAGTTGTTCTCTTTACGCCGGGAAAAATGCGTGGTTCCACTCCAATGACATTGTAGTGAATTCAAACTTGATTCTTCGGTAGCAGAGAGTGTCATGACCTATGATCACGTCTTGCCGCCCCCAAGTTCTTGCCCGGCGGGGCGGGGGGCGGCGGGGGGGGGCGGGGGGGGCGCGCGGGGGCCCCGCGGGGCCGGGGGGGCGGGGGGCGCGCGGGCGGGGCGGGCCCGGGGCGGCGGGCGGGCCCGCGTACGTGTAAATTCCCACTTATAATTCTATCATTCGTGGAAACTCATGAATCGAGAGTGTGCCCTTACACTTCAGTGAGGGTGTCTCATATTCTTCATAGAAGCATGTCCGTGATTGCTTGTGCGCCCCCATGATTCTTCAGAGTAAACTCTTAGCTATGAGTTTGAGCAATTAAGGTTTCGGATGTTCTGTTTTCAGTAAGCAAAAGAGTGTAACGGGTTTTTGTTCCCTTTCGTCTCGCTCTGTTGAAATCTAACATAGACGATAGTTTTCTAGGTCTCTTGTCTTGCGACTTTGATAGTTGATTGGCATGGACGAAGTTGACGATGCCGCATAGATCGTCAGTATCTATTTGATCACTTTACTAGGCAATTATCTAATTTGCGTAGATTCGTTAGTTGCAAACAAATCTTGTTTACTATAGTGAGATATCTTCATCACTTAGGTATGAGAAATCGAACATGGTCCCGTTGAATCATCATCCTGGCCTAATCTTCAGACGGAGATCTCTCCATCGAATGATTGAAGTCGAATTCGGCAAACGCCTTGTCGACAGCGGCCATTTTCTTGTCCATCATGTTGATGGATCCAACAGAGGAGTCGTTCTCGTTGTCGGAGTTGTCAGACTTGCGCTTGCACATGGTGCATTCGCTTTTCTTCTTGCGATCAGCCTTGACTTCAGCGTTGGAAAACCTTTTTCATGAGGACAGAGAGTTCCTTCTTGGTGGTAGGTCTTGGCGTCGTCGGACTTGCGTTTCCAAGTCTTGTTCTTGTTGTACACGGGCTTGTTATCGTTGTCAGACGAAGACTGAGACTTGGCCTTGAGCTTCTTCAGGGTCATGCAGTCAGCAGTGTGTTGAGTGCTGGACTCGTGTTAGTCGCACCATTTTTCTTCGTTCTTGGAAGATGGTTCGTTGTTGCGATAAGACTTGTTACTTCTTGCTGTTGTCTTCTTCGTAGGAAGCTTGCTTGGCATACACCGCCCTTGTCAAAGTCTTCGGAGATTCCATGCGTTCGCAGAATCCAATGGTTTCTCCGATAGGAGCTGGAGAAAGGATCGAAGTCGTGTTCGTCCATCTTCTTCATCCACGAGCGTGGAATTCCATAGACAAACAATGTCATGACTTCGTCTGGTTTCAACGTTTGGTTGGGTCCAAAAGAGTGGTAGACGAGGAAGTTCATCGGTGTTCATCCAACTGAGGTTGTTGACATAAGCCCGAGTAGACATATATCAGCAGGCTTACGCATCTTGCGGCGCATGAAGCGTTTCTGCTTTTCAAGCAGCCTTGTAGGACAGACCGTTCGATACAGGGATTTATGCCAAACGTAATTTCACGTCGTCCAAAGCAGGCTGACTGCTCCGTTCCAGGCAGCTGGAAACGTGCTTGGAAAGGGCTTCGCTTCGCCGCCACGTACATCGCGGTGAGCAATCCCGTTGACTGCAATCTGGCGCAAAGCATTCAACGTATTTCACGTGGCCTGCACAGCTAGTTCGTAACTGCTCTTGGCAGAGCTAGAATCATCTCCTTGAGGAGGTTGTTTTTGTCGCCAGGCGTAGCAATGGCAGCCGACGAAGACCTTCTCCATACGTCCAGCCCACTTGATGGTTTGACGTGGAGTCTCAGATCCATTGTGATTTGGACCTTGAAGGGTACTTGGCGCTGTTAGCATCTGCTGGAAACAGTGCGAAGTTTGTAGGTGGTAGAGCGAGAATCGTCGATTTCGCATTCATCATCGAGGTCGATGAGAGGAAGGAATGGTTTGTCACGCAGCTTGGACTCGAAACTGGTGTATGCGTCTTTGGCAATCTTCATGGTGAGGAATAGTTGAGGGTAGCTGAAAGCTATTGTGTTTGTTAACAAAATGCACTACGCTAAAAGCTAGTGTAAAGATTCTTCGAGTGTTTTGAGTTTGAGAGAATGAAAGTTATGAGAGGATTAGAAAGCTATGAAAAAACTAATCAACGAGAGAGATCCACAATCAAAGGATCGTAGATCTGAACTCCCGCGGGAGACTGTAAAGTGTATAGAGTAGATGCGGTAGCAATCCTACTCTCTCCACGACCAAAACGGAAAGCGTGGAAGATTCGTCTAGCATTTATCTAGTAGCGTGGAAGTGCTCCACGCTGGCTAAATATCTAGACGATGTTTCATCATCCAACCTAGTATGACTAGCGCGGTCATTGAGAATTCTGTCTCCAATGACTATTCGCGAAGGACTACGTCATGAGTCGAACTCAGACCCTATCTAGGATCGAGTCGCGAATAAGGCTAAGAGCCGTGTATTGCAAAACGACTACAAGAAGCAATCTTTCCCCAGAGGGATAAGTCCTATGACTTAGTAGTAAGGACAGAAATCGTCGTACCTAAAACTATGCAGAAAAAGCTAGTGAATGGTACCATGGTGTTGCTGTGCATCTGGCGAGACTCGCACGAAGCTAACCATCAGCCAACACTACACCTGGAAGGGTCTGCGCAGGACTGTGCAGACCGTAGTGTCAGCGTTGCCAAAGCTGCCAGATGAACAAACCCAAAGAGCGTAAGCTGGGATTGATGCCCAAAGACTTGCGAGGAGATCCCTTGGGAAAGACATTGTATTGACCTGATAGGCCCTTACAACGTCGGGGATCCCAAGAAAAAGAATTCCTGCACACTCCATGCTTGACAATGATTGATCCCGTAACCGGATGGTTCGAGATTTCAGAGATCTGCTCCAAGGCAACAAACGAAGTAGCCATCGTCCAGAACAAACTGGCTTACCCGGTATCCGTGGCTGCTGAGGTTATCATGGGTAGAGGACGCGAGTTCCGTGCAGGGGTCGAAAAGACACTCCGGGATGAATTGGACTTCGCCGCAAGTTCATTACACGCGTAACCCTCAAGCCAACTCTATGTCGAGCGTGCTCATCAACCATACGTAACTTGATCGCTGTTCAAAACATCAAGTGCCAAGACGACCTCGTGATGGATCCTGGGATGGAGTCTCACGGCGGTTCGCTTTGCAATGAATGCCACGATTCATACCACCTTGCGGCAACGCCCGCACAGCTCGTGTTCAATCGTGACCGATTCACAACGTCCGGTTCGAAGCCAACTGGAAGTACATTAAGGACAGTCGCCAACGACTAATCCAACAAAACAACGATAGGGAAAACGCAACGCGTTCCCTCATCAATACAATGTAACGATACTGTGATGATTCAACAGTATCAGCACCGCAAGACGGTCACCCAAAGTACAAAGGTCCTTACACTATAGACGAGTCAATGACAATGCACTGTACGGCTCCAACATGCTACCGCCAACGGCGGCACGTCTACCAGACTTGGAACATAAGGTATATACACCCATACAAGGCCTGATCCCCTTGTAGGATTGCCATCGTGCGACGCACATTCTACATCCAAATCTCATGAGAGTGCCCCGCAACTTTAAAATCATATGTTCTCCTTGTCCGACTGCTGTCGCGCCTTCTGTGACCCTTGTCAGGGGGCGAATGCAATACACGGCTCTTAGCCTTATTCGCGACTCGATCCTAGATAGGGTTTGAGTTCGACTCATGACTGAGTCTCTCGTGAATAGTCATTTGAGACAGGTTCTCAATGACCGCGCTAGTCATACTAGTTGATGATGAAACATCGCTCTAGATATTTAGCTAGCGTGGAGTACTTCCACGCTACTAGATCCAGGCTAGACAAACCTTCCACGCGTTCCGTTTTAGGATCGTGGAAAGACGTATGATTACTACCACAACCTACTCTATCACACTTCACAGTCTCCCGCGGGAAACCAGATCTACGATCCCTTGATGATGATCTCTCTCGTTGATTAGTTTTCATAGCTTTCTAATCTCTCTCATAACTTTCATTCTCTCAAACTCAAAACACTCGAAAGATCTTTACACTAGCTTTTAGCGTAGTGCAGTAGCGTCCTTGAGCCTCCATGGTTGCATTCATCCTCTCGAGTTTAGCAACAACGAATTCTTGAAACTTCATGTCCTGACCCTTCTTTTCCTCGTAGTCCATGCGGAAGTTGTTGATCTTGGTGTGTGCGTTTGCGGCATTGTCCTTGACTACGTTCAATGAAGGCAGGACATCCCTCTTGAAGCGCTCAATGCTCTCCTTGCAAGACTTCGAAATGGGGTCACGAATAGCCTTAACGAATTTTTTCCTTACCATGATCTCCAAGTCGTCGCCAATCTTGTAGTCAATTATGGCCTTTACCTTGGTTTCGAAGTCATAAGAGCTTGCGGCAGTAATGCCCTCATCATCTTCAACCTCCTCGTTGTCTTCGCTGTTGTTAAGGTCCACCATCTCCGGGACGCTTTCCATCGCAGAAGAAACAGCTGTTTTGGTCGTCTTCCGACGTGTTCTGGCGCGATCCTCAGTTGCCACAGAACCGGTACTGATTGAAGGCTTCCTCTTGGCAGCGTTTCGGTTCTTGTGGGCTCCCGTGTTGAACAGCGAGATGAGGTCCACTTCGTCATCGTTATGGGTTTCTGGGTGTACCATCGTGGATGCCGGTTTCTGAGCAGGCTTCTTCCTGAGAGGTTTGCCTGTGTATGGGTTGATATAGAACTGGTCGTCCTTTTCCATTCTAATCTTGATGGCTCTTGGTTTGTTTATTTGTGGATCTTGATTTGTATCCTGCCACGGAGGTTCCAAGATTTGAACAGTGGGTCTTTAAGCCAGATTTGAACTTTCGAATCAACTGTAACGGAATCAACGACTACACCCAAACCCTGCATGGACGTTTCCTTATCTAAGCAAGGTCCATCTTAATTATGTGCTATCTGTTACTACGGTAGCCTGACTAGCTTGATTCAAATGAACTTCCCCGATAAAGTGCAACGTACCTCTGATTGTGCAGGAAGTCCAATCGGGCTCACAATTCATTTGATTTCCATTTCGAACATGGCTGCCATCAATCTTAACGAGGACGACCGTGGGATTCCACCACTTCGTTCTCTGCAACGTCTCTTCGACGATGACGAGCGCACTGTTGATTACCTTGTTGATGAGGGGTGCCTCAACATGCCGGACACCTGTGGACAGTGTGGAGCCCCGGTAACATATCGTCCCAATAATAAGAACCTAGTGTTTTGCAACCGTAGGCAGTGCAAAGCGGTGCATGGTAAGAGATGGACTCAATCTATCATGGCTGGGACGTTCTTCAACACTTGCCGTATCCCCATCAGCGACATGCTTCATTTTTTGTATCTTTTCATCTGCGGGACCACCTATACTGCTGTAAGGAGCATGTTCGGGTGGTCACCGAACACAGTTACCGACTGGTTCAGGTTTGCGCAACAGTTGATTGGAGAAGTCGTACTGGAAACCATGGAGAACTATCAAATAGGTGGCATTGGTGTGGAGGTAGAGATTGACGAGTCGAAGTTTGGAAAGAGGAAGTACCACAGAGGACATAGAGTGGATGGGGTTTGGGTCTTCGGCGGTGTGGAAAGAACACCAGAACGGAAGTGCTTCCTGGTAGCCGTTCCAGATAGAAGGAAGCCTACATTAGAGGCTCTATGTAAGGAGTTTATCTTACCCGGTTCTATCATCGTCAGCGACAAATTCCCTTCATACGAGGATCTAGAGGGAATGGACGATTTTTGGTACCAACACGAAGTCGGTAAGTCAACTGGATGTCCAGTCGCGCGACTGGTAAAACGTCAACTGTGACTAACTTGTACTATTCGCTCCACAGTTAACCACTCTGAAAATTACAAAGATCCCATCACGGGAGCCTGCACGAACACAATTGAGGGAACATGGAACGGTGTCAAGAAGCTGGTTCCGGCAAGGAAGAGAACTGAAGAGGGAGTCCGCCCTTGTTTGTTTGAGTTTATGTGGAGGCGAATGAACAAGGGGCGACTCTGGAGGGCCTTGTTGGAAGCCCTTGCCAGAGTTCGCTATGTTTAGTTTAGTTAACGGGGAAGTCCATTCCCAGTTTAGTTCTCGCCTGTTTAACAGTCACGACTTCCCCTTTCTTTTCTAGAGCGACTTCCCAGGCTTTTTGGGTTCTCGCATTTCTGCACCCTTCACATTCTGCGATTTGGTAATTAGAGCTAATTATATTATTCTATATACAGATCTCTATATTTCGAAGTCGTTTGCCTGGCCGGTGCGCCTCACCCCAACTATAGATAATCCGAAAGAAGACAGGTCTCGCAATGTCGCCTCAACCTCATTCTCTGTTCGTGGTCAGAAAGAGGATGATGATGGGGAGACACAACGATAAGTAAGTTGCAATAAACGTTGCGATGCAGCGCGCTGTCTTCTTGTTCTGCAAGAGCACATATACTGGTAGTTCAGGTAATTATAAGACAAAATACAAATGAAATACTACCTGATCCCCATAACTGCATTCGTGATGCCGTTCCCTCCTGGTCAGCAGAGAAGGCCTTAACGAGCGCTCCACGTCAGCCAACAGAAGAGAGACTAGCTCTACAAGCTTAGGTTTTATGGAACCTGGAACAGCTTGGAAGTTGTGACGTTAATCGTGCATAATAAAAATGGCTTAGATATTTAACACTCTCTTTCCCTTTCCGAACGGACTTCCGACCTGACAACACCAGCTCAGAAACAAGTTCAACTTCCCACGCGATGAATACGTTGGTGGTGAGTGGGCTGCGAAAGGTAAAGCGTGGGAAGGGCTTCATTGTCACGAGCAAACTGCAGCATCAGGACCGCCAGCATCGAAGTTGTGGGTAGCTTTGCATCAGGCATCAGCAGGACATCGTACCGGTAGCATAACACAACAAATGAAAAAGGCTACTGGCATCTGAAACCATCAGTAGATTCGACACCATGATGCCTGATGTGGGCTCCGACCATGGCTCTGACCATGCCGCCAACGATGCCTCCAACGACAAACCTCCTCAGAAGGACTTGATGCGGCTGAGTCAGGCGGAACTGGACCGAGCGATGGCGATCAAGGAGGCATTTCAGAACGATGAGCGCCTTGGAGGCATACCTTCGGATTTCATGTGTGTTCAGTATGCACTTTGCACAGCTGATGAGACCCTGGAATTCATCTGCCAACGAGCTTTTCTCATGCAGTGTTTCATGGAAGAGTACCGGATAGCAGACACCATCGAAGAAGGAATTGACCTATTCCACCAATACACAATACAGCACCCCGGAAATTTTCTTGCTGTAGAGTATTTACCGGACCAGCAAAACTACTTTGTCATCACAGATGGAGCTGCTTTCTACCCCTCCACCATTAAGACAGATGATCAGTGGAGAACATGGATTGGCTCTTGTTATTATTGGTGGCAAGCAACCTTCCCTGACTTCCAAGCCATGCGCATTGGTCACACACAAATGTGGGAATGTGATGGAGCCTCCTTTGACAACTTTGATGCCAACTTGGCGGAAAAAGCCAAGGATCTCATGCTGGCATATCCCAAGAGTCAATGCGCCATTTACTTTCTCAATTCACCAACTGTTGTCAACATCTTCTGGGCATTGTGGAAGAGAGCTCTTCCTGAAAGAGAGCGAAAGACTTTTATATTGGGACATTCAATTCCAGGATGGGAAGGTCAACGAATTGATTCGCTATACAAGCAGCCAACCGCAGAAGCAGCACGTGAAAAAATGGTTCTGAATGTCTATGACTTTTTGCAACTCCGAGCAAAGAATGAACGGGAGTTTTCCTTAGACAAGGCAGCCAAGGCCTTGAACCAGGAGGACAATGAGACGATCGGATGATGTGGCGACGACAAGTTTGGGATTGAGAGCTTGGTTTTCGTGGTAGACGATGCTCGATTTTTGAGCTGCCACACTCAGCGGTTCAAATCTTGGTTCATTTGGGGGCATTGGTTGCTCCTGGGAAGTAGACAGAGAATGTGGACTCCAAGCACTCTGTTGGCAAACTGCATTTCAACTCGAAATCCCAATTGCATCGATTTGTCGGCAATGCAGCACACTGGTGCATTGAAACGGAGGGTGGAACGCTTAGTGAACGAGAGAGCGATGGATTGGTTCGGGAAGCAAAATAAACAACAACAAAAGCCTCTACCCGTCATTTTCCATGGGAAGATGTGTTGCAAATATTGTTGCAAGACAGACCAGACCTGCTCGATGGTCGCAAACAATTGTTTCTCTGAGCTTTCACTTGCCATGGAGGACCGGGGTTGGAGGAGGATATGATCAGGAGGACGTCGAATCGCCTCTATTGGTTTGCACACAACTTAGATGATATTTGAACGGACCATCCTCGAACGGCAATAGAATCGTGTTGACATTTTCATCAGTTGACGCGGACGGTCCGATCCCGGCCTCTCTTCCATGGTTTCTTCCCGCGCAAGCTAGGTAGAGGGTTGTGGCAATGTGTAGTTACACTGTTACACTTGAACAATCCAAGCAATATGAAGTCTGGAAGGAGTGACTAGATTCCACACATGACGCAGCGCCACTAACTATCAGTAGTTGCTTGATGCAACCTGCCCTGCAATGCTCTTCATCTCGGGGTGGGGATCTCGCAGCAGCAGGGTTTTGGCCACAAAGCTCCTCTGGCAATGCATCAGCTAGCAATTTGATCTCTAGTGCTAGCTAGAGGTACAGTAGTAACACCATCCTACCGGCATCGTAGCATCGTAGATTTGAGAAGCCACCACAACAGGAAGGCTCTACTATGAATAGTACCGGTACACAAAAGAAATTGAAGTTCAACTGTTAACCGGGGATGAAAAAACGGCAACCAAGATTGTGACTTAACGATGATCGTTTTCGGGACTGAGTTCGAATAGGTTGTACAGTATTAATAGTCATACAGTATTATAAGTTTGAAAGTCAGTTTGTTAGTCATGTTTGGACTGGACTGACCGAATCAAGCTCGAGATTGGATTAGACTAATTGCTAAGTGAGTCGAGTCGAGTCAGGTATCGTAGCGGTACCGTACGGGATTGTCACAGACGGCGTCTTGTTGAAGAGATGGCGCACTGCAAGTAAGTCGCCGGCAACCAAGATTAGCGCTAAAGATTGAATACCCCTTGATCCCTTCCCGTACTTTCTACAAGCGGACGTCACCTAGGCTAGTGACGTTCCTGTCACGTAATCCCCTTTATAGTCTAGTTATTATTATTTTTTTAAATCATTCCTTTGCCATTGTTTTCATCAACCGTCTTTGTTTTGATACTTTGGCAACATTAGAGGGATAGAGAGTTTGAGAGTCGTTTGGAGGAAGTTTTAGTAAAGACAATGCATGCCTGCTGGATCGATCGATACAAGGCAGCCACTCGTGCATCAACAGTCGAGTGTGTTGTTGCATCCGTCAAGTCTGTGGCTGGGGCTGCTAGCAGTAGATTTCTATTTGCTGGGCCTCCTGATGAAGTTCCTGCCACGTTGGAAAGTACCGTCTCTGCTGCGATCAACGACACTAATAGAATGATGGCGTCTGATGAGTGGACATGGAATTCGGCTGGTAATGTTACTGCTACGAGTACCTTTTCTTCAGCTATCCTTGGAGCCTGCGAGACGCTACCTGCATTACCGGTTGAAATTGGGGCAGCAGGCAATGACTCACTGCTTGTACCAATTCTGATTGCCTTCCTTTTTGGTGCTCTTTTCATCATGAATCAATTCCTCCTGCGGCGCCAAAATCGTCGAGAACATCCAGATTGCAAAACCTCAGATGTGGGGTCAGAGGAAGCGGAACTAACACCACTGACAGCCTCAGACTCGTATCCTTCTATTACTCTCGACCCATCATGTCTTGCCGCCCCAAACAACGCTGAAGACAAGAATTCGGAAGCTAATGAGAATCCCAAAGAGACCCCTATTCAAGAGGAGAGGCCCCCTACTACTATGGATCCATGTAGCACGACGGCACAGGTCTCCCCTGACGTCAATCAACAAAAGATGGAGGACCACAAGAGTAACAGCACCACCCCGAGTGGATGTTCTATGGTTGAAGACAAGGACAAAAAACTTGCTGCCAAGCCTGTCAACTCCTCTTCTCGACCTCCCAAGGGTCCAACGAAAAAAGTTGTGGCACAGGAGGCAAAGCCAGGCCTAGACATAGCAGTGCTTCCAATGAAGAAAGGGCTGTCACAGGAGGCAAACAAAGACATTGTAGAACCTCAAGAGAGTCCAATGAAAGAAGGTTTGGAAGAGAAGTCAAAGCCTTCCAAGGACATTGAAAAGATTCCAAATAGTCCAACGAAGAAACGCTCAGCTGCTATCATAAGTACTTCTTCAAATGATACTGGAAAATCGCCCACACGCCCTTCAAAAAAATTTCGGCTCAGTCCGAGTGTACAAGAAGGGATGGCCAAGTGCATGAAGGCCTGGCTCAAGAAGGATGCGACCAATGGCCCAAGCGAGGAGGGCGACAAGCAAATCAAGTCTGCTGCGGTAGCTGGGGCCCAGAAGGACAACAGTCAGGACTCTATCTCAACACCAATATCCAAACGGGCGTTGAAAGCAAATGCCAACAAGTCAGCGACGCTGGATGGCAGGGCTAAGAAAGAGCAATTGGACCATCCAACACAAAGGGGCAATGCATCTGTGGCTACCTCTCACATCACACAGGCACAAGTAGAGGGCGTTACCAAGAAGAAAAGTGCTAGGTCTACAAGTAAAGAGGGGGCTAAGAAATTGAGCAAGGCGTCCACAGCAACACAGAAGGCGGGTCTCGGCGGGTACGCCGCTCCCGACGCCGCCGACGGCAACGTTTTGGATTCCGGCTTGGCGGGGGTGGACGGCGCCCTGGCGTCTCGAGCCCGCGTCCACGACGAATACCACGCCAGGTTGGCGCTGGTGGATCTCGCGGCCAACTCCGACAACTACTACGTGCTCAGGTTGGCGCTGGTGGATCTCGCGGCCAACTCCGACAAGTACTACGTGCTGCAGCTCCTGGTCGACGAGAAGCCGCCCAAAAAGAAACGGAGCGACAAAAAGAAGGGAGGAGGACCCGACTACTACCTGTTCACCCGTTGGGGCCGCACCGGAACCGGGGTACAGGCCAAATTGGACGGACCCTTTGACGACGAAGACGAGGCCAAGGCAGCCTTTAAAACGATCTTCAAATCCAAGACGGGAGCGGCGTGGGGCGACGCCGAGCCCGGCAGCGAGCCCAGGAAGGGGAAGTACGCACACTTGGCCACCGCCGGCAGCGGAGGCAGCGCCAACGCCCAATGGTAGAACCGAGAAGTGGAGGAATCAATAACAGAAAATGCACCCATTAAAGCTTCCGCGGCCAGTGTTGCAGCGCAGTCGAAGCAGACCCATGTGGCCCCAGACCCATGTGGCCCCGGTCTCTCCTCGGACGGAGAGAGCAACGTCCGGTTTAGGACTCAGAGACAAACCCAGCAGCGACAAGGCCCTGAAGATTGGGAGAAAACAGGCTGCAGCAACAAAACTCCAGCAAAAACAAACCACAACCAAAGCGGAAGGATTGAATCGACCCAAAAACAAACGAAACGAAACCAGCAAGACAACGGTTTCTGAAACTGTTGCTACCACGAGTCCAGATGAAAGCAACGATGAGGTAGTTTACATGGCAACCTACAATCCTCATTCTCCTACTCGTCAATGGGATATCAACGACGACAGTAGCTCTGGTGGCTCGAGCCCTCCCCCTGCTTCATATTCAGACGAGAACGACCTATCATCGGAAGATGCAGCATTACAAGGAGCAATCTATGAGTCTACGCAAGCAGCTTCGCCCCCAAGGGCAGCCAAGAATCCACCCCACAATTGGCTACGAACGGCATCTCTGCAAGATGTAAGTACACTTCTTGTTTGATTTTTTATTGAAGTGTGTGATGGCCAAGGATAGAGTGATCTGGGTATTAAGACCTGCAGTGCATTAAGACTATTGTAATATTCTGGGCTGATACCTTAAGACTATAATATTATTATGGCTATATAGCTTAAGACCTGGCTGGATCTAGGGCATCCCAGCAGCCAAAGCAGCTACTGGAGCTGCTTTAGGCTTCAGCTGTACCTGTAGCACATCAGGCTTGGCATCAATCATGTTCTCCAATTCAATTACCAAGGTTCCCTTGGCCAATTTGCAGTCTGACTTGGACCTGAAGTAGATTGTCAACAGGGCAACGATCTCTGCTTTGGTCAGGGAAGCAACACCTGCTTTCGCTTGAGCTTCTCCTTTGCATTTGGGGCCAGACTGTTGAGGCTTTCTTGGCTTTGCGCTTCTTTTCTAGTGCCAGTTTCTTTTGAAACTCGTCGATTTTGGCCATGCCATCCGTAAGTCGTTGCCTGTTCTTGAGCTTGAGCAACGCCCTCTCATCGTTGACCAGGGCGGCATGGTTCTTAATGTTGCCAGTAGCATCCAGCCTTCTCCGAGCAGCCTTCATCTTGTTGACTGCCACTAGTTTGTTTCCAATGATCTTCCTCTTGACGCTCACTGCTTCGGTAGCTTGGATTAGCTTCGACCGATTGTGTGAAGACATGGTTACGTCGAGATGCTTTGACGGTGACATCTTCGCACTAAACAGTGACCGCTTGTCACACATATGCTCAAACAGTTCGAGTCCCTGTTTTGAAGGTGGCTTAAGCATTAACATATCAAGGCCCTCGTCTGCCTTCTTCCGTTTGGCCTCGGCTGTTTCCACCTCCGGATCTAAAGCAGCCAACGACAGAACATCTTTCGCAGGAAGCATTCTCTCTAGATGCGAAGGATCTTCAATTGCCAACTCAATACACAAACGGACGTTTTGCATTTGAGCGGGTGGCACGAAGGCTTGCTCCATCATGGCTTTGATGCATGGGACGGACCAACCATCGTGTTTCTTGTAAGTAGCCAAGGATGCTTTCTTCTCTTCAGGAGTCATGCCGTGCCAGAATGACGGCAAGAGTGCGTACAGATCTGTTACTCCTTCTTTCTTGAATGAATCACCGCCTTGCATGAAGTCCGCTATTTTGACACACCACTCGGAAAAAGGGAGTCTGGTGTGTGGGTTCAAATTGACGGCCGTGAATGAACGTTCCCATGCCGTAGAGGTTGTGGCACGAATGGCGAACAGACCAACACTAATCAGACACCACTGGTCGACGACTCCACGATTTTCAAATACCGTTCGTCTCAAATAAGACAGACAATCGTTCTTTGCCGCCTTGTCCGCCTTGGCAACAAGTCTGTCATAGGCTTGGTTCACATGAGAGGAATCTCCCTCCTCCTTAAGTGACAGTATCTTGTAATCGTACCTGTTCTGTAAAGCAGGAAAAGAGGCCATGTGAGCACCAAAGCCGTA